CTTTCCACAGGATGTGGGACTGCTGGAGATCCCTGCAGAGCTTGCTGCCCTCCTGCAGGTAGCTGAAGGTGAGAAATCTTTTGTCCTTCCCTCCCTTTCCTGCACTGTTTTACTTTACTGTTCATTTCCTTGTTTTCTAGCAGTTTAAGCATGTGCTTGCTCTACCTGCTGCCTGTCAGGTGGATTGTGTTTGATTTATCATCACAGTGTAAATATGATAAAGGCAAACGCTGTCATGTATATTGCTTCCCAGAACGACAGAGCGGAAAAGCGACCTGGGCCAGTGGGCAGAGCACTAGATTAAAATTCAGTACCTTTGTTACTTTTTCTTCTCTTTCGAATTGTGCTCGTAGAACTGATGACAGTTATGGTGCAAAACTTTTGCTCAAAGCTATGTGGCAGCAAACTGTTAAAGAACTCGGATCTCTTGCAGAGCTGGATGTCTAGAGTGTGAGAACTTAAACCCATCTTTTTTCTACTCAAAAATCTTTAAAGAAATTGAAGGGAAAGAAGTCAAAACTACAGTTTTGGCACTTTCAAAGAAATGTTTTTGGTTTTTCCTTAAAAACTTCTCTTCAAAAGTAATTGTCTTTTGCAATAGAAGTGGATAGAAACAATGTAACAACTTAAGGATGTAACAATGTAACAACTTAAGGATGCAACAATGTAACAATTAAGGGAAACGTTTTCCTTGAGATGGAAAGTTTTTTGTTTTGTTTTGTTTTCAAATCACCAAAATATCACTAACTGAAGTAATTTCCCAAGTTATTGACCTGATCCTGAGTTAAGTTATTTGCAATTTGGTTTCCTCTGTAACTCTTAGTACAATGTGTATATTTAAGTTGAAATAGGTTGAGGCAGAATTTACCTCTTGGTGTTGCTATAGCATCTGACAAGATGACAGCTGTACCTTTGGCCTTCTGCATAGTACAGTAAAAGATACATTCAGGCAGAAGAGTCTTGTGAATTGGAGCAGACTGTGCTCGAGTCTCAGATACCCTGCGCTTCGTGGCGTACCCCTCTAGTGACTGTCAGCTGGTCTAGTGAGCAATGTTACCTAGAGGAGCTCAGGCGATAAACCAAACTGAAACTGCTAGAAATGAAAGCTGACGGGACCTAAAGAGGGAGGAGGAGGAGGAGAGCAAGAGCATCAGGGTACGCTTTGGTTTGGAGATACAGGAATGCACAGAAGCTGTGCTGCACTGAGAAATCTCTTCATTTAGGAAGATGTTTGCTCCTTCATTAACCATGATAAATCTCTCATCCAGTGTCTCATCATGAAAACCTCTCATTTACTTGCTGACTGAACACTTGTCAGCAGTATCTCTGCATAGGCTCAGTGTTTCCTACTCCAGGTGCTGACTGCTCTCTGGGTGTTACCTAGAGATAAGAGTCTGAAAGATCACAGCTGTAAAAGCTCTCTCCTGAATTTAGGCCTTGTGGTGTCAAGGAAGTGAAGATGTGCCTGCTTGGGGGTTTAAGGCAGCAGGGGTGGACCAGGTGTCTCTGGAACCAAGAGGCTGGTACAGGTGCTTGGGCAAAGTTAGATGCATGTTAGCCATGTGTTGCACCATGAGTCAGATGTGTTCTGGCTGCCTTTCCAACTGCTACAACAGAAGACCTCTTTCTCTTGCAGATCAGTACAGAGCACAGTCCAACCAGATCACTGAGGCATTGCCCCCAGAAGTCAAGGTCAAAGATGATCTTTCCCTTCCACCCACCATCAACAGCTATCCTTTTTCCTCCTTCATTAAGTCATACTTCCAGGTGGGAACTCTGTTCATCTCTCTTCATTGCTTCCCCACTGGGGAGAGACACTAGTTCTAGTTACAACTAGGAACCAACTCCGTGTTTTTGTCCTTTTATTTCTTTGTAGAAGACAGATTTCCCTGCACCTGGTCAGCCTCTGCAGCAACCCTTAACCCGTCTGGATGCTGAATACCAGGAGAGTGCACTTGAGATCAACAAACTGGTAAGAGAGGTCTTTCTTGACCAGGGCCTTGTTGAAGAACAGGTGGGCATATGACATTGTTTTGATGCCTTCATACAACAAGATGCTGGTGGTGGCTGCTGTTCTCACAATACATGGTGTGTTAGGAGAGCAGGATAAATTGCTCCTTCTAGGCACCGGAGCAGTCTGGCAGAGATGACATGCAGCCCCTTAGGGTTGCTGTGTTCTTGCTGAGACATAGACCAGTCATAGGCCAATGGAATCAAAGTGAATTGCCTCGTGACATAGCCTCAGAATTTGGCAGGGCATATAGGAATTAGACTGTTAAACCTTAGCTTCCCAATATTCCAGATGCAGTAGCAATGACAGTATAAGGGAGCTTTGTCTTCTCAAGCACTTATTCTTAACTGCCAGTCATAAAAAGTTTTATTTAACCCAAGTCTTTTCCGTGATGTGGTTTATAGTAAATATATTGATTTCATCTCAGACATACAGTTGCTTCAGTACACAACAGGGGACAGTGACCTGTGTATAAAGGCTGGAAAAAGGCAGGGACTTTGTTATCCATAAAACTACACTGGAACCACACCTAATTCTGTAGTGCTTGTGTGAAGAGGATGGTGTTATTTCAGCTCTGTGGATGTGAAACATGCATTTCTTCTTAAAAATGATAATGTCAACTCTCTGAAAAGAAAATGAAACTTCAGGTAATTTCTAAGTAAATCTAGTAATCTTTTTGAGAATTACATGTAATTAAAATAAGCCCATTATGAAAGGTAATACCTAAAAAGAGTGTCTTGTTTTGTCCTAATGATCCCAATTATAGAAGAGCATAAGCTTCAATAAAATCTTGTGAATAGGATTGTGTTTAAGCAGACTACTGTTATTTTTCCTGAAGATCAAACATAATTTTTCTCCATTGCTAATTTAAAAATATAGCTATTTCTTTGGCAAAGGCTTTAATACATAGGGATTTACTACAAAGAATTCCATAGAACTAAACAACCACCATCTCCTGTTTTTCTCAGTGAATCTCTGATACGCTTACTACCATTAACCATTTTAAGAAGTGTTGTTCTCTGAGAAAAAAATAGTCCATCACTCATAAATGTCCTTTCCAAAGCTACCCATGGTGCCCTTAAGAAAAATTTTAATCTAGTGATATATTGAAGAGTAGGGGTTGAAAAAAATTATTCTGTAGCTAAGGGTGAGACATATGGATTACAAAAGCATTGAAGATGTTGGTATGCATAACCAAGAAGCTGAATCTGCTCAAGTGAGTTAGTTGAGATACCACATTTCATCCTACTTGGTATAATATTAACTACAGTGAAGTGTTTTTAACACTTAACTGTCAGACGCTGTTTCCTCATGTCTGGCTCTGAGCTTTTGACAAAGATCAGCCAAGCATCAGTTTGTTTTCTGTACCTTTACAGCTAGGCAGCCTGTGGCCACAGGCACAGTGGCAATAGCCTAGGGCAACTTGCTTGTGTGTCTGAGCTCTGCCCAAAGCAGAAGTATTTTGCACAAGAACAAATTCTGAGTCAGAGACATAACTAAGAAGAGGCTGAAGTCATCCTGACTTTTAGTCAAGGTCCTATCTCAATGAACACTGCCTCTCAAATTCCTCAGAATTTGGGTGGTGCACAAAACCTGAGAACAGATCCTGATCTCAGTGTTGACTACTCTTCTTAGGCTCACAAACGCCCTGGTATCTACGACCCAGATTAACCCTTTGTCCCAAACAGTGTTGTGAGGTGACACAGCTAGAGCTCTCTCTTTTTTTTTTTTCTTCTCCTGAATGCTTCTAGATTTTGCGGTTCATTGGTGACAAGAATCTCCATGGCTGGCAGGAGATACTTCTGGGCAACTACATTGCTGGAAGAGGTTTGAATAATGTGCCTCTACGCAATGAAATCTTCAGCCAAGTGGTTGCCCAGACATGGAAGAACCCAGACATGGAGCACAGCCAGCGAGCTTGGGTCCTGATGGCGACTTTGCTGAGCTGCTTTGCCCCTTCACCAGCACTGGAGAAGCCGCTGCTGAAGTAAGGAGAAAAGACCTAGATGCACTTTCATTAAGGTTGAGATGAGCAGTGTGCTAAAGGCAGTTCCCTTTTCCTAGATTTGTGTCAGATCACGGCATGGAGGGCTACAATGCTGTTTGCCAGCGCAAGATCTTGACAGCAGCGCAGCACACAGAGATAGACGCTACTTCCTCTCGGGCCTACCCTCCCACTCAGCTGGAGTGGACTGCAAACCAGAGGAGAGGGAAGATGGTGCTGGATGTTCATACCTTCAATGGTAACTCATGCTTCTGCCCTTCCACTATCATCTAGTCCCTAAGGACTTTTCCAGTGCAGAAATCAGCATTCAGAAAATACTTCAGCTTAGTAAAGAGGGATCAGAACACTCATTGCGGCTGTTCTAGTTGTTCATCTCTATGGGTCTAGTTTTCCTGTTACCCGTTATTGCATATCCCAGGTAGCAGCAATTGCTGCCTTTGTTACAGGTACTTTCTGCCTTTTTCCCTTCTCAAATATTGGCTTATGCTGCCTCTTGAGTGCTCAGAAGCTCCATGAACTGGATGCAGAGCCTCCTTGCTCTGGCTCCTTGGTGAGCGGCATGGTGGCCCAAGCGAACCAAGACACTGTGACGGTTTTCAGCTGTCAGGCTGGAAATGGCAACCTGTGCCATCAAACTGTTATTTTGGGTGTGAATGTGTTCATGTGGAGCCCTCCATCTGCTTTCAGTCCTCTCCACCTGTCCCCTTCCTCAGGAGTGTGTGAGACTTTCCAGCTGGGCTCTGCTTGTCCCCTGCAGAGCTTACGTATTGCTTTGGGTCCTGTAGTGGGTGCTGTGGTATTGACTCTGTTTTCCGTGTTAGAGGAAAAGTTCTCAGCTGAGGTGGAGTCCTGGATGACTGGGGAGCAGTATGCAGCCTGGCTCCTGAGTGCAAGGTACTGCCAGAGGGAGGGAGAAGATCTGGGTATGTGAAAGAAGTTGTCACAAGTTCTAGTGTTCAGACTGGTTGGGGCTGCAGGCTAGAATTTGTGTTGTCAGATGAGGAACAGCCACTCCCCACGCATTCTGGCTTGTGCTCTCTCCTTCACCCGCCTGATCTTAGGGAAGGTTTCCCTGCACATGGCAGGAGGTTTGGAACTAGATGATCTTTAAGGTCCCTTCCAACCCAAACCATTCTATGATTCTACAATTCTATCTGTGTGCATGAACTATGGGCCTCTTTAGGAACAGAGGAATCACTGGTGTGATCTGTCAGAGCAGCTTCAGAGAAAAGATGCAAAAAAAAAAGAAGGACATCTTGAGTGATTCTACTTTATTCTTGACCTTGGGCATTTAATTGTTGATTCATACCCTAAATGTTAAGGACTTAAGCCAGGATAGATACAGCAAGAGGCAACTGAATGCAATGTTTTCCTTTCCCTTTCCTCTGCCTACCAAGACACCTTGTCTCTCCTTCCTTCCCTTGTTATCAGGGGCTGTGATAAGAAGTCCCGAGGGTGGTCTATCTCCATGTTTACTGGCAACACGTGGCAGGACCTGCTGGGCTGTGACTTTGTGCTGGACCTCATTGGAGAGATGGAGGAGACCAGCAACCTCAACAACACTTCTCAGTCCTCAGCTGAGTACCCCATCTCTCCTGAAAGGGACAGAAGCTTCCTCCAGAGCTCTGACCTGGATTCGTAAGTCACCTAATCCTCCTGCCCCACCACTTGTGGTCCTGTCACCTGGTGACTCGTCTTCCTCTCAGCACTCCGTGCTGTCTTCATCTCATTTTCCTCTTCAACAGGATCCCTCCTGCTCCAGGCATCCAGGCCCCTACCTTCCCACCACCTGGCCTGCCGCCAGAATTCCACAATCTCCATCCAGGTAAGATCTCTCCCAGGACAGTGGATGGCACTGAGAAGGGCCAGATGGGCCCCATGCAAGGAATCAGAGCAGAGAGGGAAACAGGTGATTCTTCTTGATGTAGAGCAAGGAAGGGCTCTCCACTCCAAAACATGACTGTCTCATAGGTACTGGAGACAGGGGAATGTTCCTTGCCTGCCTTGTCGCTAGACTTCTCTCTGCTCTTAGGTCCAAGATTCAGAGATGACCTGAGGGCCCCTGTAGGCTTGGATCACTATGTGGATGATCTCTTTAGCACTGTGCTGCATCAAGGCTCCAGAGTACCAGTAAGTCCTTTGATGTTCCCTCTTACTTTCTCTCTGCACCTCTCCTGTCCCTGAGACTCTTGAGCGCGCCTCTGCCTATTCACGCTGCCTCTGCTCAGCTCAGATGTGCCTTTGGATGGCTCTCCCTCTGTGAGGTCTGTCTCTCTGAGCTCAGATAACTCTGTTTTTTCTTGATGCAGGATATGGAGAACAGGGAGAGTCTGACTGGACGCATGAAAGGAGGTGGGAAGATTGGACCCACACAGAGAGGAATCTTTCCTTCTACAGGTCTGTAAGGGGATGAGACAGCTGGGAACACCTGTGGGGCTATGTAAGCTTCAGTGAGCACAAGTCAGGGAGTCCCTTAAATGCTAATTAGTGCATGGGCTCAACTGATTCATGAGGAGCATTGGTCTGTAGAGTAGGTCATCAGAAGTTGCACTCCTCACTTCCAGGTGCTGGGAATCAGATGGTTTGAGGAAGGTGCTAGATAAGGTTACCTACCACCTTTTTTCTGGTTTTAATTTCTCTCTTGAGTTGGTCTTGGGTTCAAGGCAACAGGTAGCTTGCTTCTGACCTGGGCCACCTCTTCCCTAGGCCAATACTCAATAAGTCCTGTGTTCACCTTATATTCACCTTGTGCTTTCACGAAAAAGTTGCTGCCTTTCTCAGGGGAGGATTTTAATCTTTCTTATTGCTTCCTTACAGACTTTCCCATCATCTCTAGCTATTCCTTGGGTTAGTAAGTCTGAATCCTGTAGAGATTCTGTTTTGTGTGTTTGTTTTCTTCACTTTTCCTCGTTTCTGTGGAGCTAAGACTCAGGTATTTTCAGTAGGGTGGAGTCCAACACCAATATATTAATGGCACTGGGAAAATTTCATGTGTGGGAACACACCCAGCTGTTTCAGTAAGGTGGGGAATGTCCTGTTCAGGTCATTACTGAGTCTGGGACTATTTTTGGTTACTGCAGATGCTTTGGGGCATGACAAGCTCTATGACAGATCACTGGCCTGAGGCCAGTTTGTCACTCACGTGGCTACTTACATCAGCAAGGGACGTGAAGATCTCTCTATGGCATCTCTGGGCCAGTCTCACTGGCGAGGACATCGTGATTCAGTAGAGCTATGCTGTGTGCTGACTCACTCCTATCCGAGACTGATCTCCATGCCCCTTGCTCTGCTGGCTTTGCCCTCGGTGGGATTTCTGTTTTGTGACCTCATGTGGGACTTGACTGCTGGGAGCAGAGGAATTCCTTTCTCCCCACAGTTCCTTCACATGATACACAACGCCACCCAGGCCAGGGCTTGTTGTTCATTCACCCTTTCTACCTGCTGCAAAGAGACCGATGTGGACCTGGCAGTCCCAGAGATCTTTGCCCAAACCTCAAGAGAAACGCTTCTCTGTAATCATTCACAGGCAGGAGTTATTTATATGCTCAGTCATGAAGGATGGTGGTGTCCCAAGCTACACTACAGAAGCAGGGTCTGGATCCTGTTATTGTCAATTCTGGCAGGCCACACATTTCTCTTAGGTTTCCTTTTTCCACCTGAGTTTTGCTGTGTCCTGCTGTGTGAAGAGATAAACCATCCACATGTCCCTGTGGTTGGCACATGTGGAGAGAACCAGAGGCACCCAGCCTATGTGATGTGTTCTGTGGGATTGATCAGGGCTTTCTGATCTGCAATTCCCCAAAGGCACTGTACGTGTGGCCTTTTGCCTCTAGGCTTCTCTGGAATGACTCAAGCACCAGTTTACCAGTCTATGCCTTCGATGATGGGGATGCCAGCAGCCATGCCCATGATGCCAGCGGCTGGTGGGATTGCACCTATGCCAGGTAATGACACAGTGTTTCAGTAACTATACAGGGAAGGGGGATGGAAGCGTGTGTGTCCTAACAGAGCCTGTGTGTTTGAACCTCAGGCAGGGTGCACAGTGAGCACTTAGCTCTGGGCTGTGGGGAATGGTTGCCTGTGGGTGTTTGCAGACATGTGTGTCTTCCACAGCCATGATTATGCCCCAGCCTGTGGTTCCAGCTGTAGATCCCAATCAATTAGCAGCACAACAGCAAGCCTTTATCAACCAGCAAGCCATGCTTATGGTGAGTGGAAGGGACTGGCTGGTAGGAGGCTGAGAACTGGGGAAGAATGGCACACTGGTGTACGTGCTGTGAAGAGGTTGGCCATGCTCCTCTTCTGCCATAGGCCTGCTCTGTAACGCTGTGCTTGTGTGCTGGGGTTTAGCTATATGAAGTTGGAATTATTTAAGACTGCAAAACTGGAAATCCCCTTTTTGCCCCTTTGTGTACATGGGGACACTGAGGCACCACAGGTGAGTGAGAGGCAGGGACAAGAGCAGGCCCCAAAAAGCCTCAGCTGTAATTCCCATGTGTTTTTAAGTTGGGATTTGCTACAGATGCAAATCCACAGTATTCTGCTTTCTGTACAAAGCCTTGCGATTGCATGAAGGTCTGAGGCGATTTCAGTGGTAGCTGAGTCTTTGGGGTGGTGTTAGGAGCTCTGTGTACTTGGCCGGGTGGGACCAGACTCCCTGGGAGCGCCTTGTCTGTAACGCTGGGAAATTTGCAGTGAACTATGTAGATGTTTTGTGATTACCAGTGAAAGAATGGGACAGCCTGACTGATGGCTAGTGTTTTTCTGTAGCCTAGAGATCATGGACATTGCAATTCCTTCCTCCAGGCCCAGCAAATGACACTTCAAGCCATGAGCATTTCCCAGCAGCAGCAGCAGCAGCTGCAGCCGGGGCAGTGGCAACAGTCTCTTGAGAACTCAAGGCCAAGAGTCTCAAGTCTGCCACAAGCCCAAGCCCCAGCTCTAGTCTCAGCCCCAGTCCGAGCCACTTCCCCAAAACCTAAGAAGCCTCCCAGCAGCCAGAATGCCGCACCACCACCGAAGGCTCCAGAACTGCCAGCTAAGGCAGAAGAACAGGTATGAGAAACGAACAGTGGTGATGAATTTGGTTTGAATTTCATGATTTGCGTTTGCTCTGTGTCCGCTCCAGTGTGACAGTGGTTTGGCAGAGAAGCGAGCAGAGCGCTATGCTTACCTATGATACTGAGGCCTTTCAAACTCTGCTTGCTGAGTCTTTAAGACATGAGATCAAATCTTGGTGGCATTAGCTCTGTGGAGGTTTGGCTGCAGTGTTGGCAGTGAACTATGAACAATTAATTCCCAGCTAATCTGAATTTTACCATAGGAAAATTCATCACTCTAAATTATTTATCTTCTAGCAAGTTATCTTGGGCCTCTTAACATACTCTCCTTCTCTGGACTTACTTGATGATTCCTTGGGTCAGAAACTGATCTCTTGGGACACTCCCAGATGGGGAGAAGTTCTAGATCAGAACTTGGGCAAGGGCAGATCACCTCTAATCTTAAGGGCACTGTGGTATCTGCTGGCTAGTGCTAGTGAACCATGTTGTGAACTGTTTGCAGCTTTATGACTACACGGAAGACCAGTTCTCCGACAGTGAAGATGGTGACTATCCTCGGGAAACTTTCCAGCAGAAGAGAGAATATTTTCAGAGGATGGGTAAGCAGCTGCCACTTCGGGAATTTCACGCATCATAACACCTTGTTCTGCAGCCTCCCTAGCATAATGAGGTGTTCTTGTCTTCCTGTCTGGAACCCAGCTAATCTCTGCAGGGGCTGCTGATGCTGTACGTAGCTGGAGTTTTGGGTACCTGCTCAGCTGGCTGCAGTTCAGATTGTGAGATGTTGTGTTGCCATTTTTCTAGAAATCTTTGGGCTTGTGACTGTTACGACCTCCTTTGCCTCTAGAAAGCATAGACTTCTGCTGACTGATGCAAGGGTGGGAACTATGCCATTAGCGCTAGGTTTCGGCTGTGGATTTAACTAGCTTAGGTCCCCCTTTCTATGCAGGATATGAACAGATCCGAGTGAAGAAAGTCAGGCTTCCTCCCAAAACCTGGACCCCTCCAGCAAATCCCCAGCCAAAGCAAGAGGAGGAGAAGGAAGAGAAGAGGGAGAAGAGGAATGAAGAGAATCCCAGCCCTAAACCAGAGGCAGGTAAGATGATGTGCAGTGGAGACCAGGCAGGCTGACAAGCAGTAACTTTCCAGGAGCATTGGGCCAGGATATAGCCAGAGGAGGAATGGATCTGGTTCTTCTGGGACTTTGCATCTTGACAACAGATGAGAGAGAGAAAGGCCTGAGCTTTGGGAAGTGAGATCCCAAAAGAAGGCCGTGGAAGGCCATAGCAAGCCAGCCTAGGGGTTAAAAGAGAGCGAGCTTCAAATGAGATAAAGGGATTTCTCCTGTGTCTTTGCTGGTCTGTTGGTTAAAGCTGTCATCTCCAATAGCTTGTGCTCCCCCTTTGCCACCTCCTGAACCAAAGCCAAAAAAGCAGACACCGAAAGTGAAGAAGGAGCCACCTGTAGTGAAGCCTTCAGGCCCTGAGTCACGGCCTGCACCCAGCCGGGAGATCCACAACATCATCAAAATGTACCAAAGCAGGCCAGGCCCTGAGCCCCAGCCTGTTGAGCCTGTCAGGTGAGAGTGGGATCGCCCCAAGTGGGCAGGAAGATGAGTGGGACTATATGTCAGCCCTGCCACATGGCTCCATTGTGGCCACAACCCTTCAGCAGCCCCTGTAACTGTTTCCTTGCAGGAGAGTGTCCAAGCCATTTATGAAGAAAAATGACCCCAAAAATGAAGCTCTGGCCAAGCTGGGAATGATGAACCTCCCGTCTCCCAAATCGGTGAGTTCTTTGCTCTCCAGTCACCTAAGAGTTCACCACAGAGGGCCTGTGTATCTAGTCTCCAGCAAGTTGGGAGCTACCTGGCTGGTAATGCAGTAGCAGCCAGGTGATTTCTTGTTGGGTTATTAGACAGCTGTGAGCTCATACCATGGTGCTGCCTCTCCTAGACTGGTTTCCAGTCTGTAAAGTCGCTTGAAGTCCTGAAGAAAAGGCTCTGGAGCAGCAAGTCCTATTATGATATGTTTAAGGCTGATCTGGAAGCAAGAAACTAGTGTTCCCCACATTTGGCACCAAGGTCTTGGCCCATTAATGTCTTTTTTTCTCCTTCCCAACTGGAGTCTTCAATCTCAAGTACATCGTTCTCTGCACCCGGGTTTGCTTGATCTTCATCTGTTTGTAGATCATGTGCTGATTTAAAGGTCCTGGTATCCCTGTTCACACAGGTCTTGCTTCTAGGGTTGGACTGCTGCCCTAGGGATGATATATAACAGCAGTGTCAGGAGCACGGTAATGCAGAGAATGACTGGGTCAAATGGTTTTGCTGTCTTGCAGCCTTGTCCCCCGCCAGAAGAGAAGAGAACACCTCCACCTCCCAAACCCAAGCCAGGCTCAGCTTCCAGCTCTATCAAAGAGAAGCAGTTGCCTCTCCTGTCCATCTTCAGCGGGGAGAGTACCCCACCAGGTTCCCCGGCCGCTCCTGCTCCCCCTCTTCCCCCACCATTGCCTTCACCTCCCCTGCTTAGGAACCAAGACCGGCAGGAACCCACAGAGAAGGGTGAGTATTGGCTTCACCCAAGTGGGGTTTGTTAGCGGGGGTGGAGGAGATGGAATCAGAATCAGCCCGGTGGCCTGAGAGTGTCACATGTTCTGTCATCAGCCAGCTGCCCAAAGACTGAGTGGGATGTGTGATATCAGAGACTGTCACCATAGTTCCTGTCTGGCCCAGCACTCAGCGTGGCGCTTCCCAGCTCTGACTCTTCCCTTTCTTCCCAGTGCAGTGCAGGATGTCAGGCACAAATGATGAAGGAGGGGCTGGGTTTCTCTGAAAAATGCAGCTGAAAACAGAAAGGACCTTTGGGCTACAACTTTATCAAGGTCTAGTCCACAATACGTTTTATTACCTACCTAAAGCATGATTACTTTATCAAAGCTGCAATTCAATGGATGGACTTTAGACCAGAGAGGAATGGGAAGCCAGATGTTTTACCTTCTAGAGCCTCTGGAGGGTCCTTAAAGACAGGCTGAGGAATGAGGGAATGTTTCTCAGAGGGAGAATGAGAGCCTGAAAGACCTTGGACACTGACAACATAAGGAGCATCTGGATGCTGCCCACCTGAATAATGACATAGCTAATGCTTGTCAGCAGGAGTTTGGAAGTGTTATTCAGTCCTAGGGTTTGCGTCTGAATTGCAGGGGGAGCCTGGAGCCATGATTCATTTTAGACTTCGCTGCTATTTTGGATACATGTGCCAATGTATTTCAAGTTGTTTAAAACACTCAGCAGCATCACATTTTATAACATACAAGGAACAGTCAGTCAAGCACATTACTGCAGGACTCCATCCTGCATCAGCTTCCCTGGTATAAAAGAATGTCCCTGTTTCACTTCCCCTGTCTTTTATAATGGATCTTCAGGAAGTCCTGTGAAAGTAAGTGGAAGTAACTGGATTAGCCTGAAAATCCCTACGTGCTTTTGATTAGCAATATAGGAACAGCTGAACTGTGGGATCTACTACATTTCTTGATTGTCTATGAACTCTGAAGTTTTGAAAGTTGGGCATGCTTAAATGAAGATATTCCTACCTTGTAAAGCAATGCCTTTGAATGGTTGTCTTCAGACTCAGCCTGTCTTAAATAGATCTCCTGCAGAGAGAAAATTCAGTGCAAGTACTGGGTGCCTTGTACCAGAACCTTGCAGTCTGCAAGCTCAGGGGAGAACTTTTATGTCCTTTTGAAACCTTAGCAGCCTTTTTGTAATGACATAAAATGAAACTGGTCTTCAAGTTTAAGCACAGGGCTAGTATTTTGCCTGGGACACCGTGTGCTCTCTATCTCTGAAGTGCTTCTGTTATGAGCACTGAACTTTGTGGCTAATACAGCGAGTATAAATGCTATCAGAAATGCTGGTACTCACATGATGGCTGTTTTGTGCGTACATTCGTGTTAGCTGATTACTGACCTTCAAGAGAGTTCTTGACACTGATCTTCAATCAGGCAAACGGCACTGTCCCCTTTCTCTTGGTAGGTCTTTGGTAGGTGGGAAGGTGACCCTGTAGTCAGCAAAGCCCATCTTCACTGCTCTTTCTCCTCACACAGGCTCTACTGTAACAGTAGCAGAAGATGATGGCATCAAGACCCAGCTATATAAGCTCACTGCCAGTGTCACCTTTTCCTATGTCAACCCTGTCTGGAAAATCTTTCTGCGCAAAGAGGTATAGCTCATTAGCTGAGGGCTGGCTATGGGGGGAGAGAACTGGTCCCATATTTGGTTAAACTAATTTCTTGTCGTAGGCAGCCAGTGTGATAGAAGAGCAAAAAACCAGTTCTGGGAGGAGGTCATGTGATATGGGATTCAGAGGCAGGGGATCATCTCAGAGAGGATCCGGGTCCTACTCTGCCTTACTGACTCTGGTGTCTCAGTTTCCCTACCTGTCCTTTTCCTCCTCAGTAAAGCACTGAGAAACCTGCAAATAAAGTAAATTTTTTGTTACCTGGTGCTTTCCTATTAAAATAGGATAAACGTGTTTAAAACCAAGTGTTGGAGAGTGCACTGAATCGACTGGGGTTCATCCCATGATCTCACTGTTTTCCTTTTGGTCCTTCGCTCCTGGTCCTTCTGTTTACATTCACAGTGTCTCTTCCCTGCCTGTCCTGGGAGATGGACTCACTCCTTTCAGCAGTAGGGCATATGGATTACAAAACATCCCTGGGGAGCTATTTCTGCAACTTCTGTAAACATCTGTAGCATTACTATTGTTTTTATTCTCCTCTTGCAGGTGTTTTACCCCAAAGAAAATTTCAGTCACCCATATTGTCTGAACTTGCTGTGTGAACAGGTACGTATTGGCGTGTGACTCAAGGCCTGTTGTCTCTCTGTTTGGGGACAAAACACTCCATAATTACATTGCATAAGTTGCCTTCACCTCTGCATCGCTAGCAGTGCCAGTCTCTTCTCTAGGTCCACCCAGTCAAGCCCCCATTCACTCCTCTCTGAAACTCAGTCTGCTTAACAGCCTCAGGTGCTCCAACACACTCAGATGTGGCCTTTCCAACCGAAGCCTCTCTGTTTCCTTCCTCTGCAGATCATGCGTGACACCTTCTCCGATTCCTGCCTTCGGATCTCCAGGGAGGAGAAGCGCAAGATGAAAGACCTGCTGAGTAAGTAACAGCCCCATCATCCCTTCCTCCCTGTGCCCATGCCAGCTTTTGGTTTGGAACGAGAAACCAGCCTCCAAGCCCTTTCAGGCAGGAATTAGGGCAGAGGTGAAATGCTTGTCACTGCAGCAAGAAAGCATATTTGTGTGTGTTGTGTAGTGCAGTGTAGGAATGTTTGTTTATTCCAAATAGCCAGAAAATGGCTCTGAAATTTCTCTGAGCCGGAAAAACTTGGTTCTGATGTGTTTATTGTGGGGAGAGGAAACTGAGGCCCAAGGATGGGATTTTGAGCTGTCTCAAAATCCAACTGTCTTCTTTGGCAGGAGGTTCATGGAGAGGGTGAGAGAAACTAGTGGTAGGCTGGTGTATGTGCAAGTACTGTGGTATCCTTTCACCTCTGCATGTTGTTTGCTGCGCTGTAATCACAGAGGAGGACTGGTGGGAACTAGTCCCTGAGCAGAGGAAGACTTGGCCATCTTTGACTTACTGAGAAAGTATCTGCTTTGTACCCCTGCTAGTGGAGTTCCGGGTTGGCAACGATGTCCAGTCCATTCAGGAGGATGGGATAAAGAAGAGGATTGTACTGGCTGCTCGGGATAACTGGGCTAACTATTTCTCCCGCCTTTTCCCAGTTCATGTGAGTCTTAAGCTTCTCACCAGACCCTGGGCTTGCATTAGCTGTGTGGCTGTAGTTCACCTGAGATCTCTTTCTGTCTTCCTGCCTGGCCGCACATCACTCATTCTTCTGCGCCTTCTGTACCTTGCTGGGTTTGACACCTCTGTCAGTCCAGGGCCTTTTTCATGGTACATGTGGTAGCATCTTCTTCCCCTGCTGCTTTTCGTCCAGGTGGGATGGAGCCTTTGATGCTCTCTGCTGCGCTTCCCTTACAGGGCGAAAATGGAAGTGATGTCCAGATCTTGGGTGTTTCTCACCGGGGCATGCGGCTGCTGAAGGTAGTGAAAGCAGCTGGCTATAACCCTGAGCACCTGAAGATTCTTCGCAGCTACAGGTGAGCAAAAGGGCATTGGATGCTGCAGGTTGATAATTGGTCACTTGCAGGATGCTTTCAGAGTGTTAGGATGCAAACTGAACAGGTGAGCTGAAAATTCCCTGGTTGTGCTCTGCTCTCTAGGACTGTCCTGGGCCAGTGGTGACTCACTGACCCTCCTTGGCCTTTCCCTTTCCTTCCTACCCTGTGCTTTGCTTACAATAAGTGAGTGCTCCATGTGAGTCAGTTCCATGCATGTCATCACAAGGGTGGTTCTCAGAGTGGTGTGGTGAAAGCCGTGAGCAGCCTGTGGTGCTGTTACTGTTGTAATACAGTGCTGGTGAAAGGCCACCTTCTGGAGCACACTGAGGCCTGTCCCCATTCTCAGTCCTTGGAATGAGCTGTCATCCCCATGATCTGCATCCCTAGCTCTGGCAGAATGAGCCTGAGCATGCTGGCTGTGTTCTCAGCTTTGCAGATGTTCTGTCAGTGGAACTGAAGGGCAGCAATGCCCTGGAGTTCTCTCTGAAGACGGAGCAGCTCTTCCTGCACTCTCCGAAGGCTCCGTGCATCAAGGCCATGGTGGAACTCTTCATCCAGGAGCTGAAGCAGGTGAGAGAGCAGCTGTAGTGCAGTAGGGAACAAAGCTGGTTTCCCACATGGACCTGAGAGGGTCTATAGGGTGATATGATCTGAGTCCTTCACATCCTAGGGACAAGATTTGACCTCCCCATTGCTCTTTCCCCAGGATACCAACTATGTCATTGCTCTGCGCAGCTACATCGTGGATGACAAAAGCCTTCTTAGCTTCAAGAAGGGTGACCTCATTGAGTTACTGCCCATGCAAGGCGTGGAGCCAGGTGAGGGAGTTTGTCGAGATTGGCAGGAAAGGTGGGGACTGGGTTCAAGGGCCTGCTGGGACCCATGGTGCCCAGAGCTCTATGTGCTGCTGTCAAGTGAACTAGAGGAAAGCAGACTGTTAAGGGCTGGTCAGCCTTTAGCTCTGCCATTCTCTGACCACAACCCACCTTGTTCCAGCTGCCATAGTTAGAGGGGATGTTATCTTCAGATGCAGGAAAGACTGGTCAGTCTGATGCTTTCCTTTGCAAGTAGAATGCTTCACTGCTCGTTTCTCTTGGTAGCTGCCATGGTTCCTGATTCTTTCTCCTCTGTTTCTGCAGGCTGGCAGTTTGGCTCCACTGGTGGCCGCTGTGGTATTTTCCCCACCAGCCTGGTGCAATTGGCTGCAGCCCCTGATTACCTCAGCACCAGCATGGACAGACATGAAGGACTGAGAAAGAGCATGAAAGCTTCCCCAGAGAGCAGGAACACCAGCAGGAAGGTGAGTTGTCCTTGGGGAACTTCTAGGGAATATGGCCAGGTTCTGTGGGAGCTACCAGGGTGGGTCTGTAGCCCTGGTAGCATCTGACCTCCAAGGCTAGTGGGAAGACGACGACTGCTTAATCCTTATAGATGGAAACACTCAAATAGTATCATAGTGGGATGGGGAGGCACCACACACAGATGAGGCCTTCCCAGGTCTGACAGGTGACAAGAACAATGCACACTAGTTGCTCAGCTGATTTTTTAGGCTGAGTTTTGGTGCCTATCCCTGCAGAGTTCTGTTCCCAGCCTGACATCAGAACCTGACAGCATCGTGTCAATCCCTGCTGGTAATCATTATACCATGATAGACTTTGCCATGGCTTACTTCCGAGAGGCTCAGTCCATGTGAGTAGGCTGTGGTCCTTCCTAAACAGGCATACACAGGTCCTGTGTAGCCTGACCCACACCAATACATTTCTGGGGATATTTCTTGGATTGCATGTTCCCTCTCTTCTGTCTAGGCAGAGACTAAGGAGGAATTCTGCTGAAAAGAAAAGTGTAGCTGCCCTGGTCCAGCACACCAAGGTGAGTCCAGTCTCTCCCCATGGCTACAGCCAGAATCCCAGCTCCAGCATTGCCACTAGCCCCCACATGGCAAAAGCGCAGAGGGCAGATCCTTGGCTGTAGTCTCTGGAGGAGTGTAGGTGCTTCCTACTCTTCAGTACTGCCTACAAGATGCTGAGAGCTTGTGTCTTTCAGGAAGCCTGCAGCACAGCTCTGTGTGATCTGCTTCCCCAGTTTACTCTTGTAATCTGGCCCTGCAGGTCCCAATCCAGGAGTCTTTGCTCCAGTACTCTGACAGTGAGCTGAATGAGCTTGCTACAAAGAACTTCAAGAGTAAGTACCTCTCTAGGACACAACACTGCAGAGGCTGGAGCCAGGGTGAGTGGGATGGCCTTGGTGGCCTCACACAGGCATCAGGAGGCCCAGAGTGGGGAGTGAAAATTGTGTGAGGAGGGCCCCTTCTAAGGCATTTCTGCAGTTAATAATCACTTGTGTCCATGCTGCAAGTGTCCAGCAAAATGCACTTTGCCTCAAGTGCAAAGTGCCCAAGAGCATGCACTGCCTGGGCTGATGCCCCACTGACTACACGTGTCCAGTGCGAGCCTCGTAACAGCCCGTGGAGCAGAAAAGCTTTCAGGACATTTTCTAGTCTACCGCCTGCCCCATGGCAGGATCACCTCTGCTTAGACCTAAACGCTAGCCCTCACTTTGCAGCTCTGATGCGGTTCATGGGAGATCACTCAAAACTCAAGAACCAGAATGAGGTTGAATGCATCTCTGAAATCCTTCAGGTTTGTGATCTTCCTCTGGGAAACGTGCTGAAGTACCAATGGGAATGAAGGGCCAAGACCTTGCTGGGAATGGAGAGAGCAAGGAGAGCCATAAAGCAACCCCCTACATGAGAGAGGGAGCTGAAGCAGAGAGGCTGATTAAAGAACATGTTGGGGGAGGGGCTGCGTGTAAATGGTTTCCTGGATATCACTGTCTGGATGAGAGCACAACCTGACCCTCCTTCTTTAGGCCTGTGATAGCCCTAGAGACCAAAGCCCAGGCTTTAAGCTACATTGGTAGAGCTCTGAAGCTGGGAGAGGAAAGATGCAGAGATGACCTGGGGCCTCTCTGATAACTTCATTTCTTCTCTGATGCTGTCTTCTCTTCTCTGAATGCAGCTGTGCAAGGAGAAGGAGAGTTTGCATGATGAGGTCTACTGCCAGGTCATCAAACAGGTCACCCAGAACCCTAACCAGTGAGTACCAGCCCTGTCAGCTCCTGTGCATGCACAGATGGAGGGGAACCATCCACCTTGCTGCATGGACAGCAGGGCCAGAGGAGAGGCTACCACCTTAATGATGTGCTGTCCCAGCTGCTCAGATGCTGGGGCTTTTGCAGAGCACTCGGGAAATTTAGCCAGTCACTGGGTTTGGCTTTTTCACTTCAGTGGATGTTTTTGTCCTTGTATCTCTGGCTGCTGATACATCTGGGCACTGGTAAACATCGATGGAAGCTCCTGGTAGTGGTGCTGCTCAGAGCCCTGATTTCCTCTTCACAGCCCTGGGGAATTGGTACAACTGGCTTGATCCCACGCTGCCCTGCGATATGGCAGCAGTGGCATCAGAGTGGGCTTGACTTTCCCTTTCTTTGTTTGCTGTTAGAATAACTGAATCAATCCCTTCCTCCGCATAAGAAACCTCTGACCTGGGGTCGCCACCTCATTTCTGCCACCTGCCATAGGTGTTCAGAAGGGCAGAGGCTCACTTTGAGCTGCTTGGAGCACCAGTTGTCTTGTTCCAAGGTGCCCATAGTTCTTTCTGTCTCACAGGGAAGGCACGCTGCGTGGCTGGTTGCTCCTAAACCTGCTAACTGGGTACTTCCTCCCTTCTAACATCCTGATGCCCTATGCTACCAAGTTTCTGCAGCTAGCCAGCAGTGATCCATCTAGCACCCACCATGGTATGACTGTTTCTGTGTCCTGTAAAATAAACGGCTGCCCCCTTGTTACTAAAGCTCAGTGATCAAAGAAAGAAGAAAGGATCTGGGTGGGGACATGGTCCAATGAGGAAATTTCCCTTATCCTGTTAGGCAGGAGAAATGAGGGGGGTACTGAGGGACCTGAGCCTGCAGGCAAGAGTCTGCGTTGTATCTCTAGTCTTTCTATTTGCAGAGGTGATTTCCCATGGCGTGTTCACCCAGGCAAGGTAGAACTGTGTGACACTCTGAGGCTTAACTTAGCCTGCAGCTTAGTTTGGCAGCTAGACCTTGGGGGAAAGGCAGACCATGGTCTTCCAGAGTCATCAGCTGTGAGGTATTTGGGTTGGAATCCTGCCAGAGGAGAGGATTCTAGTTCTCCCATCCTGTCACTCCTGTGTACTCCTACTGCCCTGGATGCTGCCTGGGGCTGGCCCCTCGTAAGTCGGATCTGTCCTGGCAGAGTTGGAGATGAGGTTAAGTCTATTTCCTCTTCCAGCAGTGGCCCTGGGTTAAATTCAACACAGCCAGGATGACCCAACACCATAGGAGACAATGCTAAGTCCTCTGTTTGGATCAGCACATGAAGCTTTTTTCTTTTCCTGCAGATATAGCCAAGACCTGTCAGAGCAACCTGCGGAAAAATTTCATGTATGGGGGCCGTCGCCACCTTCCTTTCCCCGTGGAGATAGAAGCGTTGCTGGTATAGAGGGGCAGAGAAGTGGGGATGCTGGGAAGAGAGGGAAGGCAGAGGCTTGCCAGGAGGTGCTATGTGCAGTGTTGCAGGGGTGGTTAGTGTTCCAAGAGAGGAAATGAGGCATGTGCCTGTAAGGGGATTGGGAAGTGCTATGTGATGGAGTAGGAAGGGATATGGGCAGGGAAGAGTCAGGTACTATGGACAAATAGTGGAAGGCAGAGACAAGGAGGAAGGAAGAGGGAGGAGGAATTGTGGGGCTGAGGGGATTCTGCAGGTCTTGCTAAAGACTGTCCTTTGCAGAAGGGGCGTGGTGCCCGCCGGCTAGTGATACTGATGCCTGGAGGCATGGAATACTTCACCAGAATCAAGGCATTTACTGTGAGTTTTCTGCTTTGAACTTGGTTGATCTGGACTCTGAGCCACACCAGGGAACTTCCTTACCTGTCAAGACCTTTGGCTTGGCCTGTGCTTCCCACAGGACAGAGCCATAGTGCCGCACTCCAAGAGGCCCAGTATGCCTAACTGCTCAGGAGCTGCTTTGGGCTTGCCCGGCCATGGTATTTATTTGCTTCTTTCTTCTCGTCAGATATCCAAGGAGCTCTTGCAGGAGATCTGTGAGCACATGGGGGCAGGCGAACAGGAAGAGATAGAGGAATTTGTTCTTTTTGCCATCAGGAGTGACAACAATAATCTTGGTGAGTAGAAACTAACATCTAGCTTCTTTCTCAAAGCACTTTCTCCAACAGGGAGTACCATGGCTACTGTTTCAAATAGTTCCCCCGCCTCTCCTTGCTGGCTCTGGGGAGGTTCCTCTTCAGCAGTTTCCCTCTGTACTAGGGTTAAAGATTATGCCTTCTCAGGGGCTGTGTTCCTTGTTCCTGAAAGAGGTGTGTGTGTCTGTCTGGGTCTCTGCCCCTTTGGAACGGCTGATGCTGGGAGTCGTAAGGGCAGGGTGGAATAGAGGTGTGCAGGAGTGAGCTCAGCCCGCTGTCTCAGCACCAAGAGTGATGACCCTCTCTCTGTGTAAACCTGTAGATAAAACGGTGAGGCCGATAAGATCAGAGGAGTATCTTCACGATTACCTGCTGGAGGACACGTCGGTCTCTGTGACTTTACGCAGGCTCATCTGGAGGACACCTCTGCACTTTGAGAACAAAATTTATACTGATGCCCATTATGGACAGGTGAGCAACCAGGGCAGCCTGCCCACCAGGAACCTCCTTAGCGAGGGCTCCCCAGCAGGGGCAGAGTTAGCGTGCAGGCCAATGGCAATGTCCCAAAGGGGCTGAAGAAGCAGGAGGGCTTTGGCTGATCGGCTTTGTATGCTGGTTTTGGGAATGACAAATAATTGAAGCAATGGATGCAAGGAAGACAGTGAATGTGCCTGTAGCCCTAGCCTGTGAGCTGCACTATTCCAGATGTGGTTTGTGCAGTTCTGCATGCTCTTCCTGAGCCTGGAAAGCCTTTCCTTCACGTTGTCAGCCTGAGCGGGATGTATTACCAGCAAGGCACGATGTGGGTCTCCGCCATCTGGCGCTGCTGTACCTTCTGGCAGGTTTAACAAAGGCTTCTTTGTGGTGCTGTCTCTCAGATGTTGTGGGATTACCTGAACGGGAGGATACTGTTGAGCCATAATAAAGAAATGGAGATGCAGGTGGCCATTTTGGCAATGCTTCAGCACTGGGCCAAAACAGAGCAGCAGAACTCTGTTCCCTCCAGGTATGTTTGTCTCAGGGTGGGTCTCTAATGGCTGTTGGCACCACAGGGGTTAGGGGTACATGCCTGAAAGTACTCTCTGGATAATTAAGGAATGGACAGTTCTGCAGAATATAAGCTATTAATTAATGTCACTACTTAGTGTTTACTCCTGCTCATAATCAAGAAAGTTTACTTCCTGTTCACACTTTTAATGCTGACTGTCTCTGATCTACATTTCCTTTTGTGACTCCTCCTGAGCTGAGGGTCATGAGGGCGCCATGAACATTTCTTTTGACTGCCATGTGTTTGTAATACCAAGAAGGAAGTGCACGAGCTTATGGTTGGGATGAATGCTCCTTTGTTCTTTCTCACGAGTGCCAGAGTTTTCAACCCTGGGCACTCGAAAGTGAGATGCCTAATGGGAATGAAAATGTCCCTGGATACTGGAAAGCTTCTGTCCTGCAGCCCTGAACTGTATTTTCACAATCCTTCCTTCCTGTATCATTACAAACTTAGAATAGAGGTAATGTCTCCATCAGCTTCCCTTATATCACCAGGAGCAAAGGGCAGTGGCACAATCCTGCTGGGCACAAGGAACTCTGCTCTGTGTAGTGCTTTGGAGGCACAGGAGCAAGAAAGAGTTAGAGTAAGGTGTTTTTCAGCTAAGACTGCCTTTGAATGAAACACCCTGTGGCTCTACTTCCATGCTACAGTCCTTGCTTGAAGAGCTCCTGTTGTCTCCAGAAAGGAGGGATTTCTCTCAGTGCACTAGTCAGTGGTGCACAGCCACCTTCTGTGTGGAAAATGGTGGTTTCACTGTCTCTGATGTTTCC